TAGTTAGGTATCTGTTTTTAAATGGTGATAGACCTTGTGTGGCTAGGCTAGGATATTGTATGATTGAGTTATTGACAATGTGTGACTAGGTTAGGACATGGCGTGATTGAGTTAGATACCTTGTGTGACTAGGCTAGGATATTGTGCGATTGAGTTATTGACCTTGTGTGACTAGGTTAGGACATGGCGTGATTGAGTTAGATACCGTGTGTGACTAGGCTAGGACACGGTGTGATTGAGTTAGATACCATGTGTGACTAGGCTAGAACATTGTGTGATTGAGTTAGATACCGTGTGTGACTAGGCTAGAACATTGTGTGATTGAGTTAGATACCGTGTGTGACTAGGCTAGGACACGGTGTGATTGAGTTAAATACCGTGTGTGACTAGACTAGGACACGGTGTGATTGAGTTAGATACCTTGTCTGACTAGGCTAGGACATTGTGTGATTGAGTTAGATACCTTATGTGACTAGGCTAGGACACGGTGTGATTGAGTTAAATACCGTGTGTGACTAGACTAGGACACGGTGTGATTGAGTTAGATACCTTGTCTGACTAGGCTAGGACATTGTGTGATTGAGTTAGATACCCTGTGTGACTAGACTAGGACATTGTGTGATTGAGTTAGACACCGTGTGTGACTAGGCTAGGACATTGTGTGATTGAGTTAGATACCGTGTGTGACTAGGCTAGGACATTGTGTGATTGAGTTAGATACCCTGTGTGACTAGGCTAGGACATTGTGTGATTGAGTTAGATACCGTGTGTGACTAGTCAACCAACTGTCCCAGATACAGCATACAAGTAAATATCATGATATTAGTCAACCAACTGTCCAAGATACAGCATACAAGTAAATCTCATGATATTAGTCAAGCAACTGTCCCAGATACAGCACACAAGTAAATCTCATGATATTAGTCAAGCAACTGTCCCAGATACAGCACACAAGTAAATCTCATGGAATTAGTCAACCAACTGTCCCAGATACAGCATACAAGTAAATCTCATGATATTAGTCAACCAACTGTCCCAGTGTAAGCATACAAGTAAATCTCATTGAATTAGTCAACCAACTGTCCCAGATACAGCATACAAGTAAATCTCATGATATTAGTCAACCAACTGTCCCAGATACAGCATACAAGTAAATCTCATGGAATTAGTCAACCAACTGTCCCAGATACAGCATACAAGTAAAATCATGATATTAGTCAACCAACTGTCCCAGATACAGCACACAAGTAAATCTCATGGAATTAGTCAACCAATTGTCCCAGATACAGCATACAAGTAAATCTCATGATATTAGTCAACCAACTGTCCCAGTGTAAGCATACAAGTAAATCTCATGATATTAGTCAATCAACTGTCCAAGATACAGCATACAAGTAAATCTCCTCATACTAGTCAACCAACTGTCCCAGATACAGCATACAAATAAATCTCATGATATTAGTCAACCAACTGTCCCAGTGTAAGCATACAAGTAAATCTCATGATATTAGTCAACCAACTGTCCCAGATACAGCATACAAGTAAATCTCCTGATACTAGTCAACCAACTGTCCCAGATACAGCATACAAGTGAATCTCATGGAATTAGTCCACGAACTGTCCCAGTGTAAGCATATAAGTAAATCTCATGATATTAGTCAACCAACTATCCTAATGTACGCCTATGAAATGAGTAAAAAGGGAATGCAACAAAACAACGAACGTGTCGGCAGGAAGCCTTCTTCGGCGAACAAAACAGCAGAAAAAACAGGGGGAAAATAGCACTTAGCTGAGTAGTAGTATTCGAGAAGGCAGCAAATGAATTGTGGAATATTCTACGTCATGTTATCTTGAAATCGTAATGGAGATTAATTGTCTTGATCCTGAGCCACGAATTAAGATAAGATTCTCTTTTCCAAATAAGTAGGAACGTTTTTTTTTATCACATTATAAATGTTAATTTTCGGCAATTAAATACATATGCATTTTAACGACGACAATATTTTAAAATTAGAACAATCTAAATACAAGAGATCTAATGTATTTTTTCTAGCGTCAAAAAACAGCCATCGATATACTCCTTTAGAGACCTTAATGACTTAATTAGTGATTCTTTAGATTTGGTAACCGCTGGGGGACCACGTTGGTCAATTCTGTCTGACTTGAGAACATTTTTTGTTTATATCTTTTGGTCTTAATTTAAAGAGAATTTTTTTTCCTGACCAAGCTGATCTTAAGTATCTGTGATGAAATGGGTGGGATGTGATCTTAGGAATCTGTGATAACATGGGTGGGATGTGATCTTAAGTACCTGTGATGAAATGGGTTGGGTGTGATCTTAAGTATCTGTGATGAAATGGGTGGGATGTGATCTTAAGTACCTGTGCTGAAATGGGTTGGGTGTGATCTTAAGTATCTGTGATGAAATGGGTGGGATGTGATCTTAAGTATATGTGATGAAATGGGTGGGATGTGATAAGTATCTGTGATGAAGAGGGTGGGGTGCTTCCAATTTATTTTTCAGTTTTAGACAAGCATTTTTCTTCAAATAGTGTCTCAAGTGAAGAATGTTTTTAGTTTGTGTGATGTAACTAACTTTCTTGATTCTTCTAATTTAGTGGTCCCCAAATGGCGGTCCGTGGACCTTCACTGGTCCGCATGCCTATAGCTGTCGGTCCCCATAAAATAAATATTTATTGTCCAAAATAAAAGTCTAAAAATAAATCATGCACCGGTCCCTGGTAAAATGTCGAAACTTGTTCACCGGTCCACCAGTCTTAAACGTTTGGGAACCACTTTTCTAATTAACCGGCGTTAGTTGTCAGATGATAAATTCCCACACCTGCAGTTAATACTTACCGAAGTTGCACTATAGAATAAATTAATACCTTGTTCATTTACAACGAAATTGTCCTTTTATTTTTAGATTCTAAAGTCTTTGGTTGACTTTTTCCATGCATAATTGGGCCGGGCTCATGCCATGTCAGCTTATTATTGATGGTGACAACTACGTGCTTATGTCTTGACATTCTTTACACTGATTCTTCTTAAAAATCGAAGACAGGAGAAAAAGATAAAGTTTTTTGTTTTCTTCAAATTCCCATGTTTCTTCTCTTCTATATTTTGAGGGCCATCGGTCAAGGTATTGTGACATGATCCAGAGTGTTAAAAGGTTTGTTTTTTCTAAAGGGAAGAATATTGGGAATACTATTTTCTATGAGGATTTGCTCAAATATTACATTGGGTTGTATACACAATACCGTATGTTTGAAGAAGGGGCATTCTTTCAATGAGCGTTTTATTGTTGAAGACTTAAGTTTTCCGGATTATCAGGCAAAATAAATGAGCCCATGAAAGTTATCGACTACTAAATAGCGCAGCTTAAATATTTTAATTTTTTTTAAAATTTGTAGTACTAACATATCTATAACTGGAGGAACTGAAGGAAAGTGAACTTGCATATTAAAAATGCAGTCAATATAATATAAATTTATACATTTGAGGCATATGCGCAGCTTCAATTTCTTCAACGTCTTCTCAGTTTTTAAAACTCCACTTTTTTGTTTCAACAAGTCGTATAGACAATCTTCGCCATGTCTTAACAAAATGTGTCACTCATTCAGTAATGTCCATGTCTTACAAACACAACATTCGCCACTTCATTCAGTTTCTTATCCCAAAATATAAATTCAAATCAAGACAATTTTTCATCTACGTTTATTAGAACTACGTTATACAGCTACCTATTAAGTCACTACGGCCGAAGCTAATACAAAGAGAATTGTGTCTGTAACATTAGTAACATCTTATGCAATATACGCATACAATTAATTACGTTTAAAATCTTTGCAAATAATTTCTTAGATGAATAAAAAATGTTAAAGATGGATCATATAAAATCTGGATTTCCCTAAAATCCTTATGTTAGAATGATATTAAATGAATGATGTTTTACAAATTATAATGCATTTTCCATAACTTGATTTCAAAAATTTTTTTACAAAAATTACAAAAAAATCTTTTAATTAAATCTTAAATTTCATTTGTTAATTGAAAAAACGTTTTAAAAAAAAATGTCATATATAGAATATAAAGATTATATGTTGGAATACATTTTCTTGATTATAAATGATTATAGTATGATGACAAAAAATTGAACAAACGATACGTTAAAAGTGTAAACATTAAATAATACAAGACCAAAACAAACTCAAACACGACCTAGAGATGCTACACATGTTATATGGAATGACAATTATGCATTGTAAATAGTGACAGCGAAATAGTACCACCAGAGGAAGTCTTGGAATGCCTTGTCAATCAAAAAAAAATTTTCTGCAGCCTTTACTATAATTTTCAAGAGCTGTGAATTTAAATTTTAAAAAATACTCTATGTGATTTAAAAAAATTATTTAATCCTAAAAATTTTTAATTAACTTATAGGTCAATGTTTTGTCTCGATTTAAATAGACTTAAAAAAATAACATTCAACTCAAGCAAAATGGCTGCAATTTTCACTGACCTATAAAAACGGATTAACAGCAAACGGACGACCAAATTTCATAGGTGTACTTCAGAGTTACAACTATCTGTAATGTCCCTAACTTTCCCTAAACGAATGAAGACAAACCACACACACACACATCACGAACCTTCTTGATTAGAGGACCTTAGCTCTAACTAAATTTGAAGAGCTTGTTTGTTAAAGTTAAAAATAATCTAACACTTTTCAAAGAAGGACCTACCCCAACACAGTTCAAAGATGGACCTATCCCTGATAGTGTTCAAAGATGCACCAGGTGAGAACACATCTCCAAAAAAGAACCTTAATGGCATGTAAAAGAATTTAACACTTGATCGCTCGTAATTCCACTGAGTAGAATCGTGGGATTTTTTGGTTTTTTTTTTTAAGTGTGTTTTCTTTTTCTTGAGTTAGTAGGTATTAAGGATTTAAAATACAAACTAACGATTTAATGTTCAAAAAAATTTTTTTTTTTAAATACGAACGAAATGGAATGGCCTTTTTTTAGAGACCGGGGAGTGGGGTTTGGGTGGGGGGGGGGATAAAATCAATTTAAAAAAAAAGAGATTATAGGGATAGGGGTGCTGGGCTAGAGATTTAAAGATTTTAGAAAATTATTAAGGTTCAATTTTATAAAATAATTTCCGAAATAGCTCAAATTACATTTCAGATGCCATCAAGGTCAGGATCACGGTTTTATAAGTTTGGTTATAGGAAGGTATAAGAAATAAACATGTCATGTCAGGATGCTAACGAACTAAAAAATCTCATAAATATATATATGTTTGAGTGTATATATATAAATAAAAGAAAAGAAAAGTAAGTTAAAAAAGTCCCGAGTTAACTGTTTCAGTAATTTGGCCCATAACCAGCGTTATTCACCATTAAGACCTGCTGCACAACCACTGGACCCCTAGTGTACACATGTACCTGACCCCACGCCAGCGGGCCCCACAGTTAATGTCATGCAGGTGGACGTTGTCACAAGGGGGCTTGACGGTGAACAGTGAGCAGGTCTTCGGGCCAAACGGGCCGTGGATCCTGCCACTGCTTGTCCAAAACGCAATGTTGTGAAAGAATGGACCTCTGGACCAATAGAATAGCCTCACTATGCGTTCATTGTCCTCCAAGACGAGCTGTTGGAAGAGGAAAGATGTGTACAACATTAAGACAGGCTGTACTTATCTTATAGGTCACGTACATTCAGCCGTGGTACTTACTGCCAGGCGAAGAAAACCACACACACACAAAAACTGTCAACATCGCGCAAGAGCGGACATCGTAAACAAAAGTATAAAATAGTCCAAAAGATACTTCCCCACTTATCGCCCATTACACTTTTCGCCGAAGAAACTAATTAACTTACCATTATTGAAGCTTTTTGAAATTTATTATTCAAAGCTATTGAAACTTATTATTGAAACTTAATGAAACTTATGACTTGACGATGACGCTTATCGAAGATTTAAAGGTAGTTGTTGATACGGACCACAGTATTTTAGCAAAGTCATAAATTTCAATTAAGGCAAGATATCGGGGAATTACTTTTGTTAAAATACAAAGAAATGATAAAGAGTAAATACTTCTTATCTTTTTTTTAAGACTCCCGGGTTCACATGACTTTCCTCCTAAATTATCAAGCTTCAAGGCATGCAGATCTTTCCATTCATTCGGAGAAACTAAACGAAACATTGAACTATAAAGTTTAAAAATTATCACAACATTTCCTCACCCTGTGCAGTCCCTCGACAGGCAGGTTGACCACACTGCTCACTGTTTCCCGGTAAGCTTTAGTGCGTGGGTGTCTGTAGCCAACATTCAGGCCAGCTATTACCTCACATCCTGCCACGTCCCTACAACAAGGAGAGAAAATAACCTACTTAATGCATAAAAGACTTAGAGCACCAGCTCTGATGAGAGCACCACCTCTGATGGATGCTCTGATGGCACCAGCTCTGATGACGTTTGCCACAATAAGAGCAATATCTTTTAGAATAATAAAACTACCTATGAGCAATGTGAGGCTGAAAATTTAGAAACAAAAAAATTCCTACAAGTTACGCACTTAAGAATCGCACTTAGTCGCCCCCCCCCCTTTTTTTTTAAACCTCTAACACCCACCCCCCACCCCCCTTTTAACCTCTAAGGCTCGCAACCGCAAATTTTCTTCACGTCGATGAATTATAATATTCTGATGACCCACCCCCTTTATGCACCGCAGATTTATTTCAACCATAATTTTAGAAAAAACGAAAGAAAATACTACGCAATAAATTAAATTTGGCACAGTTATCGGGAATTTCCCTTGTTAACAGTGGGGAAAACGGGGAAAATAGAGGGCGAAAGGGTGGGGTGGGGTTGGGGAGGAACAAATTTGAAAGAATTTGGAGACATTAGCAACGAGTTTATGTGCCCGAGTTTAAGCTCAATAACTTGACTAAAAGTGGGTCAGTTAGCCGTCCCGAATTTTCCTGCCACCCAACTAGCCAGCCAGCCAAGAAAGACAATCGAAGTTCATGCAAAGGATTTGATTATTGCTTAGTAGTTTCATTAATAACAAAGAGCGTCTCAGATCATGGACGCCGTACACATATTTCTGCATGTTTTTTTAGGTGTACAACATGGAAATAAGTTAAAGACCTTTGAAAGTTCAGTGTCTGGTATTTAGTCCATTGTGTTCACTGCCCATTATGCGGAACAATGTTAACAATGCGCGCATTGTAATGCGCTCATTGCCGTGCGCTCATTTTAATGTCTGCATTAAAGAAAAGTCCACCGAGCGTTCAGTGTCGTGCCTGCTAAACGTTCCATTGTACGTTTAGTACAGTGTCCAGTCATTGTCACTTGTACGTTAAATGCAGTGACCACCGAGACATTCATTCACTTACCTGGTAGCAACCTCTATGAACATAATCTCCGTGTTATCCTCAGCATACCCAGTTCTTTCAATGCTAGCAATACCACTCGGAGCAATGTATGCACTTTCAAAATAGAGATTTTGGGGAACATTCATTGTCAACTCCGCGCCTCCAGCCACCTCTGCGCCTCCAGCCGCCGCCAAGGCTCCAGACACCAACAAGCATCTAACCACCACCAAGCCTGCAGCCAACGCCAAGCCTGCAGCCGCCGCCAAGCCTCCAGCCACCGCCAAGCCTTCAGCCACCGCCAAGCCTTCAGCCACCGCCAAGCCTTCAGCCACCGCCAAGCCTTCAGCCACCGCCAAGCCTCCAGCCACCACCAAGCCTCCAGCCACCACCAAGCCTCCAGCCACCACCAAGCCTCTAGTCACCGCCAAGCCACCAGCCAAGCCTCCATCCAATTCAAAACCATCATCGACGTCGAAATTCTCACCCACGTCTAAACCGTTTGGTACGAAAATTTCAGATTTAGAAGCTCTGCACTGTTCAGCTACAATTTCTATCAGAGGGTCCATCTCTGGGTGATCGATCTTCAAACCATTGGTCAGCAGATTATATTTTTTCCAGATGGTTGGTACATTTGTGAGCTTCCGGTCCAAGAGTCTAACAGTGATCAGAAACCTTTTGGCAATATCAATGTCATGGGGGCCGATGATGGACAGATTAGTCATGACATCTGTGAAGAGAGTGTACTCTGTCTCCTCTGAATCATTGTCACATGGCGTTGCCGCCAGGGTGCGGTCAATATAAGCAGAGAGAACTTGCAGAAAATCAGGCTCCAAATCAGTCATGTCAAGATTTGCACTCAACTTTAGCAAATACTTGCAGAAGAGCTTCTGTGCAAATGTTTTTAGCTTGACAACATTCAATGTGTCTGCAAATTGTATGGCTTGGAAAGCATAGGCTTGACCCAGATGGACGACCATAAAATCACAGCACCTTTCCTGTAATAGAAGCAAATAATTTTTTATGGCTGAGATTGACTTCTTTCTGGTGATTCTATATTAAGGGTTTCTGTGGGACAGGGTTTCTGTGGGACAGGGTTTCTGTGGGACAGGGTTTCTGTGGGACAGGGTTTCTGTGGCACAGGGTTTCTGTGGCACAGGGTTTCTGTGGCACAGGGTTTCTGTGGCACAGGGTTTCTGTGGCACAGGGTTGCGGTGGCACAGGGTTGCGGTGGCACAGGGTTGCGGTGGCACAGGGTTGCGGTGGCACAGGGTTGCGGTGGCACAGGGTTGCGGTGGCACAGGGTTGCGGTGGCACAGGGTTGCGGTGGCACAGGGTTGC